AACAACGACTAAGCATACTAGGCAACTAACAATGGGAGTTAGGCACCTACCCTGAAAAGGTGTTTTTGTAAATGTCACTAGATAGCTATTTGTATCTTTAGGTGCCGATGTACATTTTTAAATCTTGTCATAAGTCTCCTTTATCCCAAACAAATTTACTTTGAGGAAAAGTATGGATCATTGCCTAGTTCTGGCTGGAGTCCACCACAAACTGGTTATTTTTAAACTACAGACCTTTTATTTGACTGGAGTCCACATTGCAGAAATCCTGAGAGAGTGCACTATATCCTTTCACTCCATAGTTGTAGCCCCTAAAGCTGAGAGTCCACTTTTAACTTAAATGAGTTTCTCACAGTCTCCTTCCTCTATTCCTACTGTGACCACAAATTGTAGCTGTTTTGTTCCACTGTGTCCTCTGTCACTGGTGGTCTTCCTGTTGGGATCCAGCCCAGAAATGTTTGCTTGGTTACCATCACTGTAGAGCCACTAGTGAATCTGACCTAATAAGTATACTGTATTTTTAAGCCAAAAATATAGTAAAGTATGTTCAATTTCTGTCAAAAGTAGTTGTAACAAACACATTACATGCCATCAAAATGAAAATTTATAACAGACATTTTGGCAATAGATCAAAAATATGCATGAGCGTAAATGAAGGCAGAAGTATACCCATACTTTCATCATGTCATCCCAATTTGTGAATTATGATATATTTTGAAACAATACCCTTCTTTCTCTTATTGCACTGCAACTGACTTGTCTTGTGTGGCCTTGTTGAATAAGTGTTAACACAATTATATTCTTGATGACAAACCTAGGTAATAGCTGCAAGGCAAAAGATTCAGTTGGCTGTAATACAACCATCCAATTCCTAGCTGACCAATATCCACAATTTAAAGACTGTATCTGCACCAAAGATGGTTTTTGTAGCACCAAACTGTTGCTGGAGAAACAATGTACCATTACAAAAGGTAACTATTGTACCTGATGCCCCAATGACAGAAAATAATGGAAAGGGAATTTTAACTATGTTTGAAGATAGAATATAATCTCTCATCATAAGGAGGTCTGTTATAGTTTCTGATTCTTGTAAGTGTATCTCAAACCTAAAAAACCCCCAACAGACTTTTTAATGTTATTTTTCCTTTTCTAAAATACAGGAGACCCTCAGAGTTACTAACAGCAGAGTTATGAACTTACTAGGGCCGGTTTTAGGGCTGGTTTTGTTCAATATCTTTATTAATGACCTGGATGAGGAGATGGATTGCACTCTCAGCAAATTTTCAGATGACACTAAGCTAGGGGGAAAGGTAGATATGTTGGAGGGTGGGGATAGGGTCCAAAGTGATATAGACAAATTAGAGCATTAGGACAAAAGAAATCTGATAAAGTTCAGCAAGGACAAGTGCATTTGGGACAAAAGAATCCCAAACAATGTTACAGGCTGGGGACTAGCTAGCCAGGTAGCAGTTCAACAGAAAAGTACCTGAGGATTACAGTGGATAAGAAGCTGGATATGAGACAAAAGTGTGCCCTTGTAGCCAAGAAGGCTAATGGCATATTAGGGTGCATTAGGTGGAGCATTACCAGTAGATCTAGAGAAGTGATTATTGCCCTTTATTTGGCACAGGTGAGACCATATCTACAGTATTGCATTCAATTCTGGGCCCCCCACTATAGAAAGGATGTGGACTCATTGGAGAGGGTCCAGTGAAGGGCAATAAAAATGATTAGGGGCCTGGAGCACATGATCTACAAGGAGAGGCAGAGGGATTTGGGCTTATTTAGTCTGCAGAAGAGAAGAGTGAGGGGGGATCTGATAGCAGCCTTCAACTTCCTCAAGAGAGGTTCCAAAGAGGACGGAGAGAGGCTGTTCTCAGTAGTGATGGATGGCAGAAGAAGGAACAATGGTCTCAAGTTACAGTGGGGGAGGTGTATGTTGTATATTAGGAAAAACTATTTCACTAGGAGGGTGGTGAAGCACTGGAATGGGTTACCTAGGAAGGTGGTGGAATGTCCATCCCTAGAGGTTTTTAAGTCTCAGCTTGACAAAGTCCTGGCTGGGATGATTTAGTTGGAATTGGTCCTGCCTAGAGCAGGGGGCTGGACTCGATGACCTCCTGAGGTGTCTTCTAGCCCTAGGATTCTATGATTCTATGACTAATCAATCACCCTTCCCGCTTGGAACTGGAAGTACACAATCAAGCAGCAGCAGAGACAGAAGAAAAAAAGCAAATAGAGTAGAGTGCTGTGTTAAGTGTAAAATACGGAAAGTAGCATTTTTCTTCAGCATAGTAAAGCTGCAAAGCTGTATAAAGTCATATTCAGTGGTCAATTTTGAAAGTGCAACCATAATGTTTTGTTCAGAGTTAGAACAAAATATATTTTCTGTGCAAGTCTCAGAGGGGCAGCCATGTTAGTCTGTATCTGTTATCTTTTCTTGAGGTGTTTGTAAACATTGAGGTTCTACTGTATTCACATGCCCAAATATTTATGAAAATTATGTTCAATTGCTTTTTCTAAAATCAATAATACCAAAATCAGGAAATTATAATTTAAAGCTGAAAACTCTTTATTTAACCTGATCTGATAAGCCTAAATATTGTAGCGCATATAATGGCATATAGAATTTCATATAGATTTTTCAGTGCTTATTGAACTCCCATTGAAGTAAAGGGGCTCAATTCAGCAATCTTTGTTTGGCCTCGTCCTCACTGTGAATTCTTCTGGCAAAAAATATGCTAATGAGGGATTCATTAGCATAAGTCATGACATCATTAGCATATTTTCTGCCATTTCTTTTTGTGAAAGAGGTTTTTGTGCAAAAAGAAGCAGTGTGTGTGTGTGGGGGGGGGGGGGTTGCACAAAAACCCTGTTTAGCACAAGATCCTTATGTCTCTCTGAGACGGGCATAAGGATCTTGTGCAAAACAGGGTTTTTGCGCAACCCCCCCCCTCCAAACTGCTTCTTTTTGCACAAAAACTCCTTGTGCAAAAAGAAACGGCAAAAATATGCTAATGATGTCACAACTTTTGTTAATGAGCCCCTCATTAGCATACTTTCTGATGGAAGAACTTGTAGTGAAGACATAGCCTTTGAGTATAAGTAAAATTTGGAGACTGACACAAAGAGAAGTCTCCTTGAATAAAGACCACAGGATTTGACACATGGAATGTCAAATCAAATTAGATAATAAGGTAAATGTTAAGTGTCTGATTTTGCATTCCTTACACAGCATGGCAGGATTGGAAGTCTAAAGTCTGATACTGTGAAACTGATTATTGTTTTGCCTCAGTCAAATGGGAGGATGATTAGACCCTCTTGCTTAATTACTTGGGGCCAAATTACTCTCTGGTGCAATTTAAATGAAATCAATGGAGTTGCATCTGGGCTGAATTTTGTCCATAGACCATACTTGTATCATGATATGGGCAGTAATTTCAGTGAGAGCTCTGTGTATATAATCTCATGTCCATTTATGTGCTAAAATAGAGCACAGGTTACAGTTTACAGACTTTTAGGAACATAGTACACATTAAGAAGATTTAGTAATCTGCAAGAACCTGAAATCATTATGTAATTACATGCTATTTAGCAACTTCCTTAGGCATCATCTGCCATAATCAGTGTTGTATAATTCAGTTTATTGTACTGATTCTTAGGTGAATTAACTTTGTCCACAAATTTGTTTAGATATAACTTTACAAGAATATATAGGGTTCAACCTTACATATGGATTTCCCAACATATGTCTTTGTCAAAATCTATCTGTACAGGGCATTTGGAGCCTTCACTAAGCCCAGATAACCAATTAAGCTTCATGTCACACTCAAAACCCAAAAGTATACAACGCATTGGGGAATCCGAAAATGACTGCAGTATTGCAAAACAAAGCTGTCGAGAAGATCACAACTGCTTTATGAAGTATAAGAACTTCCAAAGGGTATGCAGAGCAGAGGTGGCAAAATGCAGTCTCCAGATGGTCGGGCAACAATGTTTGTCAGCATGGAAGGAACTGAGAAAAACAGTGCTGGGGAACTGCAAGTGTTCAGAACCAGTTCAAAAAAGATGTGCTAAAATATGGAATAGTATCTTTAATAATACTTGTTTACAGTATGCACAGGAGACTCCAGCTTCTGCCACTAGAAAAGAAGACTATGATCATGAAAGAAATCAGGGCATTCATCCAGGTTAGTGATATTCAGAAATATCTTTACAAGAAAAAAATGTTTTATTACAACACAAAAGCTGTGCTAAACTGTGCCCTTATATACTAATTTAAATCCAGTATGATAACATTTGTGGGACTGTTTGTATATTTTTATTACTTATTTGCAGCTGAAGTGGGGGGGGGGGTAGGAGAATTCTAGGAAGCTGATTAAATGTATGTGAATAATTTAAACATCTTATCAAGTGGCAAGTGAAATCATAATTTGAATGAAAGAAATAATTTCCTAATGTGTGTTTGTATGGCATGTAGAACAAAACAATTCAGGTCCTGACTGCTACTACAATAGATAAGGAAATAATTAATTTTTTGGCTGGGAGTCTGGACCAAAAGTAAGAAAAATATTTACTTCGGTTCAATCTGGAAAGAGAAAGTAAAAAAAGTTATTTCAGAAACATGTCTGCATATTTCCAAAACAAAATTTGCTCTCCTGTCCAATCTTGGCTGAATGAAATTTACATTTTTGCAGTGGAACTGATGAAAAAGTCAATTCTGCTCGGTGGATGCTGGATTCCCAGGGTCTGTAGTTCCAAGGCAATCCCCTGAGTGTGGACTGCTCTGAGAGTCAGGGTTCTCAGTGCTTCCAGGCTCCCAGCTATAGAAAAGGGCTCCTGGAAGCACTGGCATGGGGAAGCTGCCCCAGAGCCATGGACCCTTCTGTCACTTGGATCCTTAGCCCTGGGACTGTCCACCTGGCAGAGCTGGCTCTGATGTCATAGAATCAATCAAGCCCAAGACACTGAGGGCTGTGGGGGTTGGCAAGCTCCCTGTTGTGGAACTATACTGCAGTGAGAGTTTCACCACATCTGCAACAGAGTCAATGAAACAATTTCTGTCCAGAGAATCAACATTTACTGATGAACCAGTAACTACTGTCCCTCACTGCTACTACTAAATATTAATAACAACAATTAATAATAATTGGTAGAGTTTTACATAGAAATGAATGCACTGTTAATGGTCAATATTTTTAAACGGTGTATCTATTCATAAATTTAAGCTATCATAATTATATTTAATCAGAAGAGACCTGATTAACAGAGGTGCTGAGCATCCAAGAGTTCTCACTGAGATCCCAAACTTTTAGGCCTCATATTCAGAGAGGAGGGTGATGTTGTCAAAAGCAATAAAGAAAGATCCTGTGCAACGTGTGCTTTAATATCTCTAAATAAATATAACAAAGCTTTTATAGTTTGTAAACAAATTGATGAGCCTATTTGACAAAACTAATTTATCTTTTCTCTTTATTTTTATTTAAAGGCTATGCTAGCAATACAGCCAATAAAGTTTTACATTAAAGCTCACAACCAAGTTGACACCATAATATATCAATGTTATATATATATTCTCTGTATGTATTTTTTCTTCTTCTAGATAATATTAACATGGAAACTAAATTACAATGGAACTTATCTGCTCTTTCCAAACTCGGTAAATTTGAATTTATTTTATTAATGTATAAATCATGTTTATGGTTTTTGTTTCCATTGGTGGTAGTGGGCAATGGAGCTGCAAATATATTAAATAATAATATTTAACAAACATACTTAAAATAAGAGATTTAATGAGAACCCCAAAGATTTTGAGATAGATTTCTGTTCAGTTAAGAATGCAGAAGTTCACAATAAAAAAAATCCTGATCCCATTTAAGCCAGGGGCAATTCTTCTCATTGTCCCATACAAAATTGTAAAAAATGAGCTGAACATTTCAAAACATAAAAGGGATAGCTTCAAATCTGAGTTTAAGAATAGATGCAAGTTTCAGCAGCAGAAGGATTGTTCTAATTTTATCTGAATTAGTTTCCACATCCCTTAAATACAATGGTTATAACAAGGTGGATAAGTAATAGTAAAGACAGATAACTCACTCTTACAGATGTAACTATTAAAATGATAGCATTAGGAATTTTTGTAATAAAAATACACTAATAGTATTTATTTATCAACAGTCACAACACTGTGGTATGTCCATATACTTTGAATTGCAAATAAAGATCAAATCCAGGGTGCCCTATATGAGGTGCTGCAAACTCTGAAATAATACTCAGCAGGAGACAGGAGTTTGCATGACTGGACCCTGACTTTGATATTACAATTTATAAACATAATACGCAAAGAGCACTGGGGCTTCACAGATGAATAACTAATCAAATGAAGTAATCAAAAATGAAGAGCTTACTTTCTATGGCAGCAGTTCTAGCTCCATTTAGGTGTACAGCAAAGTGTCCATTAACTTAATGGAGACAGGATTTCACCGGCAGTGTTTCAGATAACAAAAAACATCTTTAAGGCAGAGTTAAGGTTGCCTGGCAGTGTCTCATGCCCTTCCAGAAGGTTGACTTCATCAAAGCTCAAATCTCTGAGAAATAAAGAGATAAGGTCATTCAGGCTTAAATTTCTGAAAAGCAGTTATAGTATGCTCCAAAGCACAAAATGCCATATGTCCCTGAGACTTATTGACATGTTCATTATTCAGCTCTACAAAATAACCTTAACTTTCATGTATCCTGCTTAATAGCAGCGCTATATTATGAAAATAATTATTTTGGTGCCAAATTCTAACCCTGGGGAATTCAACGGCAAAACTTCCCTTGATTGCAAAAGGATGGGTATTTGACCATTAGACTGAAATTTACATTGCTGTAGAGAAACCTTACGAGGTCTTCTAGAGTTCACCTTTTCAACCTTCATATCCCCATAATCATCTCCAACATTTTATTATTAATGAATAGTGAAATAACTTAGAATTATCTTGCACATGGTTGTCTCTACAGCTGGTAGATTAATTTAAGTTCAAAGTATTTACAAATAAAATGGGAAATGGAGGAGGGGAAAATATTGTTCTAATGTGTATCAATTTTTGAACCAGCCCTAATTTTTAGAACATTTTCTTTTTGTTAAGACTTGATCCTACAACAGTTGGTGCAGATGACTCCCAGGGGCTTCAGTGAGAATCCAGAAGCACAAAAAATAGCCACTAGATTTGTCTTTATATTTACCTTTACGTATTCTTTAAAAAAATATTATTCTTTTAGAGTACACAGAGAATGGAACCTGTTTTGATGTAAACAAGGAATGCATTGAAGATGAAATATGCAATAAACAGTTATCTCTGTACCTCAAAGTTTGTTCAGTAACCAGAAAGCAGTGCCACATGGAACAATGCCGAGCAGCCATAAGGTTCTTCTATCAAAATATGCCTTTTAATGTTGCCCAGATGTTGACATTTTGTGACTGTGCACAGCCTGATGAATCCTGTCAGCAGGCCAAAGAACTTCTTCATGGCAAGCCATGTGCAGTCAACATAGTTCCCCCTCCATCTTGTCTAAATGTAATTCACAAGTGTCAAGACAATGAGTTGTGCAGGTTAGTAAAAGAATTATTACTTTATTTAACCTTTGCCTTGTAACATGTGTGTCAATAACAATGAAAAAAGGTGATAAATATAATAACTCTTTATACACATAGGCTACGTCTAGACTGGCATGATTTTCCGCAAATGCTTTTAACGGAAAAGATTTTCCGTTAAAAGCATTTGCGGAAAAGAGCATCTAGATTGGCATGGACACTTTTCCGCAAAAGCACTTTTTGCGGAAAAGCATCCGTGCCAATCTAGATGCAGTTTTGCGCAAAAAAGCCCCGATCACCATTTTCGCCATCGGGGCTTTTTTGCGCAAAACAGTTTTTAGCTGTCTACACTGGCCCTCTTGCGCAAAAACATTTCCGGAAAAGGCTTTTGCCCAAACGGGAACGTCAAAGCATTTGCGCAAGAAGCACTGATTTTGGACAGTAGAACATCAGTGCTTTTGCGCAAAATCAAGCAGCTAGTGTAGACAGCTGGCAAGTTTTTGCACAAAAGCAGCTGCTTTTGCAGAAAAACTTGGCAGTCTAGATACAGTCATACAGATTTTTTTCATTATAGTTATTTGATGATTGCTGGTGTCTGAGAACAAGAATGCCTGCCGAGAAATCTTTTTCTAAACTTTATAAGCAAGAGCAATGGAAAAGTTTGCCATCTTTTAATTTCCCAATTAAAATAAATTCCTGGATATCTGGGCACTCTATATAATGGACTCTCAAAACATCACTATGACAGGAGGTTTAGATCTCAGATCATTCTACTACTGATAATATAGGGAGTATGACACACTACGAGCAGTTTTGATTCTGGCCAGGAAAGGAAAGTGCAAAACATATAAATTAGTCAGTTTGCTACAATATTTAGGTAGATTGTTTTCACTTTTTACCCTAATAAGGAATATTTAATATATTCTTTGTCACATGGCACAGACTTAAGCCATTTCTGAAAACAAGGATCTGTTCTGAAAAGTGACTGTAAAAATGTCACTGTAGGTTCAATTCCTTATGATTCCTAAAGACTTCCATATTAGCTGCATTCATTTTACAAGTAAATTAGCAGGATTCTTTTCAATCATGAGCCTTGAAAACTCAGTCTGAGATTTATATGTCTTGTCTATCATCACCCATAACAAATTTTCAATAGACAAATTATGGAAAATTATCCGGGATTTTCAATCCCACTCACTTCAGATTTTGTCCTGGGGAATGGCCATTGCCTTCACATAGGTTGTGCAAAGCATGATGCTGACTGGGCAAAGTTCATTTGGTGAAATTAATTATCCATTAACCCAGTAATCTGACCCTTTGCACCCAATTATTGCAGAAGGAAAACAGTCTAAATAAGAAAGCACTTTCATTTCTTTCTTTTTGTCTTTTTCTCCTTCAAACAGAGTGTATGTGATGATAGTCCTCTATATGTGAGAAAAGCCCAGTCCATCCATAAACAAACACTTGTAGAATGAACCAACTTTTGGATATATTTCCACTTTATTTTACAAAATATCTGAATGAGAAACAGCTGGACTCTTGGCCTGTGCAGACAGTGCCACTTAAATATGATCATTATTTTGTCGGCAACTGGCTTGCTTTAGTTTTCAATTACGTCATTCTAGTACTATTGGACAAGACCTGAAACTCATCTAATAAATTAAACTGTAAATTAACCTCCACTAAAGAGACCCAGGATCACATTCAGCTCTGGTACTAGCAGGTTCTATTCAAATTAACGTAAGTGGAGGTTCCACTTTTTTACGTCAGGTTGAATTGTGTGAGTAGGAGCCTAACTGGAAACCATATTTAGCAGAGACTTGTTGTATTACCCATTATTGTTTGAACATTAATGGTTTGCAAACATTAACAATCAGTAGACATAGATATCAAAATTACACTATGGATTATATTTAGCTGTTCCTATAAATTATGAACCTGATTGTGCCATTAACACAGAAATGAGACCTACTTTGACAGAAGCCTTTAATTGTATAACATATGTTCTGTGTAATTGGTTCCTACATTGAACCTTATAAGTCTATTCCTTGCCAGACATGCTATTTTAAGAGTCCTGTGACATCAGTGCTTAATTAATATAGTAGTTTTCAGCTATATTTCAATGGATCAATGTGCAGCAAATTCAAGTCTGGTCTAACAACTAATATTTAATACAATAGATATTGATTAGAAAGATATTTATCTGGGGTTTTACAACAGTGTCCTATTAAGAAAATTGCTATGTTTATTGGTAAACATTGGCACATCATGAGCTATATTTATTCTACTCAACCAATATAATAAATAAATTGTCAAATGGGATCATTGAACTCAGAAAGAAGAACCAAGTTAATCCTACTTACTCATTTAATTTGATCACTGCTAACCTTCTTCTAATGTGGATTTATAGTTATTATATCTGTTGGCTGAGTTTTTTTAAATTGGTTTTGTTTTTAGCCTGAAAAGTGTTTTGCTCTATGGATTAGATAGTCTTTATCTTATAACACTCCAATTCAGTGTTTGTTCCGCCTAGACATATGATTTTACACATCTGCCACATCCATTAGAATTTTACTTGCTTTGGTTTCATTGTGATGTCCATCCTGATAATTCTGCTTTGCTGAAAGCTGTCTTCTCTGGATGTCTCCTTAGATAATTATTACTTTCAGCACTTATTGTTGGACTCTGAAAAATCTCTGCTGTTGGTAAATGAATCAACATTTATTTTCTTCAGAAAAATTCATTTCTGAAACCCAGATTCTGCCCTTGGTTACAATTATACAACACCATTGTTGTCAGTGATATCAGACAGGTTTAAGGAAAGCAAAATTTGGATCTATTGATACAGCTCTGTAGCATTATACTTAAAAAAATTCAGTAGAGATGGGGGTCTATTGCACCCTACCAGGCCTATTGATACCATGACATCCCAAGGATGGAGTCAGATAACCAGGAGAGCTTTTGTATTTGGAACTGTAGAGAATTTGACAGAAAAGGGATTTCAGGAGACATTAAATCCTGACAAGTGCCTGAATGAGTGACAGATACCTTTTTGAGGAGAGCTTTTCATACCATGAAAACACCCTTTCCTTTTTTCTCCTCTACTCTTGCTTTCATACAGAAAGCTACTGCCTTACTAGACCCATCGTCAGCATTCATAGAGAAATTTCTGATTAAAAATGTCTTTTACTAACATATTTCTGGTAATTTTCAAGTTAGCTTCTTTTGTGTTTTGTGTGTGTGTGTGGGTGGGGAATTTGTCTTAATAATAATATATCAAAGTTTTACTTGTGTGTTTCCTATGTTTCCTCCAGGAAAAAATATGAAGTTTTTCAATCAACATGCTGGAGACATGTGACAAAAAGATGCTATGATGATAAAACTTGCCTTGAAACTTTAATCGAGGGTGATCTGACTTGCTCTGGAAGTGCTGACTGCAGAGCATCTTATATTGATAACTGGGGCACCATGCTTCGGGTGGAATGTACCTGTAATAATGTCCCACTAACTGAACAGTCTTTATGCAAGCTCTTCTATCATATGCTTCACAGCAAGTCCTGCTTTAGTAAGTGACAGGAGGGAAAATACACTGTAAAATATTGGTTTCACACAACAAAATTAATTGAGTTAGATCATGAGTTCAATAAAATATTTCGTTGTGCCAAATTTATCACCAGTGTAACATTGTTAACATCAGTAAAGTTATATCTGGGATACATTTGTCCAGATGAACTAACTATGCAGAATGGTGCTCTCTGATGTCTGTAAACATTTAAATGTCTGTTCAGAGTAAAATTGTGAACTGAAATGGTTAAACAAAGTCAGCAGAATCACTATGAAGGCAATAATTTCTAATTATGACATTAAATAAGAAAAACACTGTAAAGCATTTTAGCTAGCAGTCACTGGGTATGTTTCTGTATCTGTTTTTCAGTGCTCTGGTAGATTACCTTTTCTCCTTCTGATGGTTCATCAGATTTTAAAAAAAATCGTGAAAATACTAAGGATAGCGTTAGATTGGCTAGAAGTGCATTTCTCAAAACATTTACTTAAGGGGAACCTAGATGAGGATTTTAAGTGTAGTTCGAGTAGCCTTTGAAACAGTAATGAATTCCACAGAAAGTTTCTATGGTATTTTATCTATCATTATCCATCTTCAAATAGTTTCTCAACAAAAATGAAAGAAGAGTCCAAAATGTCATGTCTTTTTGAGTCAGGATCTTCAAAGACTTCCTTCTTCTTTCATTTCTGAGCACAGGTTTAGGAACATACGAATGGTCATACTGGGTCAGACCAAAAGTCCATCCAGACCAGTAGCCTGACTTCTAATAGTAGCCAGTGCCAGATGTTTCAGATGGGATAAACAGAAATGGAAAATTATCAAAGTATCCATCCTCTCTTGCCCACTCTCAGCTTCTAGCACTCCAAACATGGACAAAAAGACCTTATACAATAAAATATGTATAATATGTTTAATGAGAAGTAATGACTCAGGCCAGGGAGTGGGGTGAGAAAGGAGGCAACTGCCTTTCCGGGGGCACAGAGCCAGTCCTCCCTGTCTTGCCCAGGGGCCCTGCTCTTATTCATTTTGAACTGAAGAAGCTTCTTTTTTATTTAAAAAAATGATAATGAAAAAAAAATACAACCCTGACAAGTTGGATACAAAATTTCATTTAATTGTTGGCTGATATTGAGTTATATCAGCAGGGACGCTAATGCTGAAAACTATAAAACTTTTGTTTTTAATTTTTATTCATATGACTTACAGGCTACTTAACAAAATAAAAGTGCAAAAACACTGCCTGAGGCTTATACTTTCAATGCTGAGTTTCAGGATTTAGCAAGATTTTATAGTATGTTATATACCTCTTGGAAAAGAAGTGCTGATAAGTCTGCCAAATTCATAATTATAGCTGTGGTCCTGAAAATAACAATAAAATAAATACAATAATAAAATAATAATAATAAGAAGAAGAAGATGTTTTGTGATAGTACCCAAAGGCTCCAGGCAATAATTGTAGCCACATTGCCCTAGCCACATGCTCACACCCACCAAAACTACAATCTCTGGATCACAATAATAATCAAATAATACCTCATCAGCTTTTGCCATTCCCTGCAGCATTTCCTTAAGGATCAGTATAAAACCTCCATGTAAACTTGATTAACCAAATTGAAAGGACATGAACAGCCACCACTGTGGTGCAATATTATAACAGTATTTTCATATCAGCTAAGCAGAAATGGTTTCTTTGGGATTTGATTATTATTGATTGATACCACGCTTTTTTCCTGTTTCTATACCTCTAGCAGTGGTAGTATTAAATCAGAGAGGAATATTTTTATGACTATATTTACATTGTTAGGCCATGTTAAACTCTCAATGAGGGCGTTATAGAGCTATTGATTGCTAATGCTGATATCTGTTCAGGACTTGGTCAGTAGTGAGTTTTAAATAATCTTCATTATTGTTAATTATTTACAATGAGATTTAAAAAAATAAATGTATAGGCGCAACAAACAGAATCTTTGGCTTTAGATTTAGTGAGAATGGAGGAGAATGATAGATTCTATCCTGACCCGATTACTGTAAAAGGGACCTGTACAATGGTCAGGCAGCCCATGCGGTATCCTATTTGTTTATTAGACTGTGCATAGGCATCCATGTTTTCCCAGGGGATCCATCTACAAGATTAAGTTCTCTACCAAACTCAGGATTGGGATTTGGGAGGAAAAGGACAGGGGCTGTACATGACCACAGTCACAGAATACACGTAAATTAGTGCCAGGAAGGATCAGTATCATGAACTGATCAGAGGAAATATGTATCTCAATGCCAGAATTCAACATTTAGAAAAGTATCATAAATATTTTAACTTTACATTTCTTATTTCCTATTAATTGCATCTGATAAAGGTAGTATTCCAGCAGTGCATTTATTTAAATGTTATTTTAATGATTTTCTAGACTTGGACAAAGACACTCTTCCCTATGTCATTCAGACTGTTTGCATTCCTTACAGGAAGATTAACATGGCTCCTCAGCCTGCTTCAGTATTTCCTTTAGAGACGGTTGGTATGTTAGCCCCTGCCTCTGTAAACTGATGCACCACTGTGCTTACACTGATACCATTGACTACAATAGATATTTTTTCTGATCAAGTTGTGAGATTATTCCTTCCAAGACTGACAGTTTTGAGCAGGGGCAAGGAGATGGGTTTGGAGAGCAGAATTTCCCCTTGTTAAGCTGGTTAAAATCCACTCCTATTCCTGAGCTCCCCTGAGTGTATACTTCCACTTTTCACATGCATAACCCTAAAATTGTTTGTCTTGTTTCTATCCAAATGAAATGGAAGCACCTTGGAGGCAGAAACATTTTCTATTTCTGTTTCCATAAAGCTGCGTACGTCATCTATAATCTTGCTATATATTATAGAAATGACTGTCTGTCCCTCTGTGAGTCTGTTTGTTCAAGAATGCTTTCTAAACACTAAGAACTAGAACCACCAAATTCCATTTACAGCTTCCTCTTAGTGTTACTTAAAGCAAGGCTAGAGGTTTGGTTATACCAGGACAAAGGGATATGGTTGGAATCTGAGTGTTTCTCATTAAACAGAAAAGGAGGGGTTTGATAGCAGGGACAGTTATGCTTCACAATGACTACAGAGGGGCAGTAAGTGCATAGGACAGTTATGTTGTAGACTGACCACAGGAGGGTGGCCATGCCTGTAACAGTGTCTGTCTGGAGGGTGGGACTCTGCATGTTGCAGGCCACTGGCCACAGGTAAGTAAGTGTGCCCCCAAGCCCTCAGCCCAAACCACTTCTCCCTCTGACCCTCGGCCCCAGTGCCAGACTGGGGCTGATCAGTGCAGCCCCCACCACCGCACTCTCTCACATCTCCCAACCCCCTTCCCTGCACTCCTCACCCACATCTGAACCCCCTAAAAATTAGTTACAGACCTGAGCAATGGATATATACAGGGGTGGCCCGTGAGTATAGGCCGACTTGGCTGTTGGCTATGGCGCTGCCTATAACGGGGCGCCCAGGGCCCCCAATGATGATGTCACGCCATCATTGATATCCCCTGCAGGCAGGGGCACCAATTGCGCATTCCGCCTGGGGCACCAGCTGCCGCAGCCCGCATCAGGCTGCCCCTGGATATATATGATAGTAATCTATAACTGAGATATAAAATAGCAATAATTTATATTTATAGGGACAATTTTATTTAACGTCTGTCTCTTAGGCCAAGTCTACACTAGAAAACTATTTTGAAATTACTAAATTTGCCTTAATAACTCCTGATTTAACAAATTCGAACTAGTGTGTCCACACTCTGGGGAAACCTCGAAATTAATCCGAGACAGGCTCTATTAATGTGGACATGTTACCTTGGACTTACAGCCCCAGGAAGCATGGGGAAGTAATGTGTTTGAATTATTCTGGGAAGTAATTAGTTTGAATTAGAGGTACTGGAGTGTCCATACTACCGTTATTTTGAAATTACTATTTTGGAATTAGAGTTACTCCTGATGAAAAGCAAGAGTACAGAGTTCGAATTACATGGCCCATTATTTCAAACTAACAGGCTTGGTAGTGTGGATGCACTGCTTATAAATTCAAACTTGGGGGGCTTATTTCGAAATAAGGTCCTAGTGTAGACCAGGGCTTATAAACAGTGGCTAATTTTAGTTAGATCATAACTTAAAGTATACTTATATCAAAACATTCTTTCCTGTTTTCAGATCAGATTTCAAGGGGAAAGACAGACCATGAGCTGATACTTACTGATATGCCAGGAGAAAAGCTTCCCATAACACGGTTACATTCTTTATTTAATGGTGAGTTTGGACAAATCACTTCATGAATCATGATTTTCACAGAAATAGTCTTTGAAATGTCATCCGTGAACTAATGTGCAGTATGGTATCAGGAGACCTGAGTTTTATTTTTGGTTCTGGCACTGACTTACTTAGTATTCTTAGTTAAGTCGCCATAGCTATGCCTCAGTTTGCCCATCTATAAAATGGCCCTAACTCAACTACTTTAAATCTTTAAAGATTCATGGATGAAAATAACTGTATTAACTAGGTACTGGTGTTGTCATAGATTCCAGGAGATGTGATAGGCATAAATTAAAGGTTGGATTAAAAAAAACCCTGATTGGGCAGAATAACTAGCCACATTACAGTAGACATTCTTGCAAGTTCTTTTGTCTGAGGATCTGGTCCTATTTTGACATCTGGGAAGCACCATGCACATCTATGAAGCTGTCAGAGGTAGTGATCAAACATCACAGGATATGCTTGTATTTACTTTTATGTAGATCAGTGGTAATGATAAATGACTGCTCCTCTCGATTTTGTGAGATCAGACAACTGTGTTGACTGAAACAAAACAAGAAATTGTATGATTACAAATGAAAACATGTCTGATAGAGTCTAACATAATTACTATATAAATAACACAAACACCTATAGAGTTCTGGGGAGACAAGAACCCTGCTCCTTCTCATGATTTAAACTGCCAGACACCTTTACCACTGTACTTACAAGAAATCATCCCTAGCAAGTATGAACTATTCTGTTTCCCTCTGTGTTACAGCAGCCACAAGACAGCCTATTGAAGTCAATGGGGGTCTTCTGATTTCAATGGGCTTTGTATCAATTATTGAATAGTAACACCTCATTCGTCGCTGTTTCACTGCAGACTGTTATATGACAAGATGATCCAGTCTAGAGGGGAGGAGGGATTTGGTGAATATCTGCTCTATATATTAAGAAATGGACTTTAAAATGTCAAGGTTCCTCTTAAAACTTTGGTTATTAAAATACTTATATGAAAATAAACAAAAAAAAAGGTAAAAAAGTCTAGAAAATATGGCCTAAAGGGAAGACTGAAATAACTAGGTTTGTTTAAGTTGGAAGAGAGAAGACCAAGAGGGGACATAATAGCAGCTTTCAAGTATCTAAAATGGTTTTACAAGGAGGAGGGGAAAAATTATTCTCCTTGGGTACATCTACACTTGCTCCCTAGTTCGAGCGAGGTATACAAATGTAGCCGACTGAAATTGCTAATGAAATGGGGTTTTAAATATCTCGCACTTCATTAGCATAATCTCACCCGCACGTTATTCCATTCAACAGCTGATTCGAACCAGGAAGTGTGCTCCGGTACGCATTAGTTCCAATCAAATCTATCAAAGGAGTAATGTTAATTTGACCCAAGGGGTTTGATTCAAATTAGCACTTTGTCAGAGTGCACTTCCTGGTTCGAATCAGCTGTTGAGCGGAATAACGAGTGGGCGAGATTATTGCTAATGAAACACAGGATATTTAAATCCCCGCTTCATTAGCAATTTTGGTCAGCTACATTTGCATCCCTTGCTAGAACTAGGGAGCAAGTGTAGACGTACCCCTTAAGCTATGATGACAGCACAAGAAGCAATGGGCTTAAATTGCAAACCAGGGAGGTTTAGACTGGACTTTAGGAAAAACTTCCTAACTGTCAGGGTGATTAAGCACTAGAACAGTGGTCTCCAACCTTTTTAACCACAAGATCACGTGTTCAATGTAAGATCTACTTCAAAGCCTTGTCCCATTTCCTTCCAACCTCTTCTCCAAGGCCTCAGCCTGCTCACTCCATCCCCTTTCATCCCCCATCCTCACTCACATTCACCTGGCTGGGGTAGGAGGTTGGGGTACAGTCTCTGGTCTTGGGCCAAGGGGTACAGAATGTGGGAGGAGCTCCAGGCTTAGCCCAGGGTGGGTGATTGGGGTCCAGGAAGGGTTTCAGGGTGCAAGCTCTGGGAAGGAGTTTGGGTACAGGGAGACTCATGTCTGGGGCAGGAGGTTGGGTGTAGGAGGAGGATCAGGGCTGGGACAGGGGTTCAGGAAGCAGGCTCTGGCTGGGCACCGTTTAACTGAGATGGCGTTTGGGTGTTGGAACAGTGGGGTTAAGGTAGGCTTACTCCTGCCCTGGTCCTGCACCACTCCTGAAAGCAGCTGGCATTTACAGCAATGGCTCCATGGCACCATGTGCTGCCTCTCATTTACAGGCTCTGAGCCCACAGTTTCTACTGGCCACAGTTCCCCATTACTGATCAATGGGAGCTGCAGGCGAGTGTCTGCAGGCAAGGACACCCTGTAGAGACCCCCTCACTCTGCCTCTCTCAGGGGCTGCAGGGACATGCCAGCCACTTCCAGGAGCAGCAGTTACCATGGGGATAATAACTCCTGCCACGATAGGTTAGGCATTTTAGAATTCAATACTCAAAGAATTAAATGTAAACATAAGAGAGAAATGAAAATTATGAAATGCACAGACTAGTCAAAATCCAAAATAACCCACTTTGCAAGCAGCAAAAGGAGTAACAACAACCCCCCACATATGTGTTGGGTCAGGTGATGAGAGTGAAGGACAGTGTGTGTTTGTGAGAATGGTAGAGATACACACAGGGTGTGAGAGTGACAGAGATTTGCATTGCCAAGCTCCCTCCATCCCCTTCTCTCTGGCCGTGTCCAGACTCAGGGGTTTTTTCGGGAAAAGTAGCCTTTTCCCGAAAAAACTTCCCCTGCGTCCAGACTCAAGCCGCGTTCTTTCGAAATTATTTCGAAAGAACGCGGCTTTTCTTTCGATGGCGGTAAACCTCATTTCACGAGGAAGAACACCTTCTTTCGAAAGTTCCTCTTTTGAAAGAAGGCATTCTTCAATGTAAAGAGGCCGTCTTCGAAAGAGAGCATCCAGACTCGCTGGGTGCTCTCTTTCGAAAAAGCGGATTTCTCTTTCGAAAGATCCGCCTGCAGTCTAGACGCTCTCTTTCGAAAGAGGCTCTTTCGAAAGTATCTTTCGAAAGAGCCTCTTTCGAAAGAAGCCTGCAGTCTAGACATAGCCTCTGTGTGGAGAGAGGGTACAGAAGTGTGGGGCAAAGGGGAATGCTGACATCAGCACCCTCCTTCTTCTTCCTTCCACACTCTGCATGGCAAGCAGGAGGCTCCTAGTGGGGTGGATCCAAGGCTGAGGGCTGGAGCCTCATGACAATGAGTGGAGGGGCAACTGAAGTGCCAGAGCTTGATAGCTTCCCGGCCAAACCAGTCAGGATCACCTGTCAGAGGCTCCAAGATCTACTGGTTGGTGACCACTGTACTAGAATAAATTGCCTAGGGAGGGTGCAGTCTCCATCACTGGAGATACTTAAGAGCAGGCTAGACAAGCATCTGTCAGGGATGGTCTACATCATTGTTTCTCAATCAGTGGTATAAGTACCCTTGGGGTACTCGAGGGAAATCTGGGGGGGTACATCAACACAACTGAAAATTTGGAGAAAACCGAATTTTTGTTGTAAGTTTTACAGAGCTTTATTATTTTTGTACTTTTTACACCCCAAAATTTCATCACCTGCCCATCTATGTTTCAGTTGTTTAAACAAAGGTGTTGCAATGGTAGAAAAAAATTGTGTGTCTGAAGACTGTAGGTACTCGGGATACTTATGATTTTTTTTTAAAAGGGGTACTTTATTAAAAAAGGTTGAGAAACACTGGTCCTACCATGAGAGCTGATGACCTCTCAAGGTCCCTTCCAGTTGTATGATTCTATTTTGTCAGAAGTTATTCTGTTTAATTCTAGGAACATTTTTCTTTTAATCTTATCCCCTTAAAGAAGTGAAAGATGAAGTGATAACATTCCTCAGGTGCTTCCTAATAGTATTAATACATCCAGTGACAATCAGATAAACAGCTTTGTTATAGGGCTTGATAAATTAATATAGTTTGGCTTCCTTTGAGTAGGGCCCAGAATGGGATAGAGCTGGGTGACCCGAGTTGTGCTCACCTGCCTTGGCAACTCTGCCTCTGCAGACTGAGCGAGAATAGCAGAAGATGCAGCAGGAGTGCCCAGGCAGGAGCAGGCAAGTGTCCACAGCCATGTTATTGACCAAAGGTACATTTACACAACAAAAAACCAACCATGGCCCTAAGTCTCATGGTATGGTTACAATGCTATAGAAGTCTCAGGGTCTAGGTCAATTTATATGGGTTTACGGGGTTGAGGCTGCAGGGCTAAAATTTTATCCCAGATTCTGAGACTATCCCCTCTCTGGATTCCTTGCCCCAGCTTCAGCCTAAGCCTGAACGCCTACATTGCAATTTTTAGTCACGCAGCCTGAGTCTCTTAAACCTGAGTCAGCTGACCTGGGACAGCCAAGCTGTGATGCACGTCTTTTATTGAAGTTTAGATGTTCCTCAGAGCCTGCGTCAACTGATTCGGACTCACACTGACTGGCTAAAGATAAGCAGTAGGTGGGTTGGGCTCAGCCTGTGGATTCTGAGACCCTCCCCTTTTGCCAGGTTTCAGAGTCTGGACTCCATCCCAAGAAGGCACATGTACGTCTCTCTTTCTAGCCCCATAGCGTGAGCCTATATCAAGTTATATTATAGATATTGGGTGACATCATTGCCCCACTGAAGTTAATGGGAGTTTAATGGAGCCAAGATTTTACTCATTGTATATGAAATTTAAAATATTAATGTGTAAAGATAAAACTTTAATTCGTTCAATACAGAGCTTTGCATGCAAAGATGTTTTGTAAAAAGGGGAAATTATGATTGCAGAACAGTGGTCTATTTCTTTGGGAAAGAATAAATACTGTGCTTGACAAATTAATATTATTTTGCTATTACTGCGTAGCAGCATCAGTTGTTTCCTAATGTGTAGTTCGGCAGATGAACAAGCAATTGCTGTGGTTTATAAGTGGAGCTGATGTGGGAACTGAGATGAGTTCAGTTTCACTGACTTTGATTTGTAAATTATAAAACATTGTAAACTTCATTCTTTATAAATGTGGGAGAGGAAAACCCTTTGACAACTTGCTGTGAGAAACCCTCATAAACATTAATCTGGCCAATGAATATTTAAGATCATCCTGTCATGTACACAATTATGAGCAACTTTACCCACACTAAAAATACCACTGAAGATTGGTTTCATGCTCTGGAAAAAACTCTTCCTTTCCCAAGCTCTCTCTGCAGTCAGACGTCTTCTTACATCTATATACAATCAACTCTAACTGCACTTCGTATGTAGTCTATGTACTGCCTCTATTCTCTCCCACACTATAAACAGAGAGGGTGAAAGGGGATAGCTACGGAGAGTCTGTAGCTTATGCTAAAAGTGACCTGAGAATTACCACATAACCACAATAAGGCCATGTCTACACTAGGAAACTATTTCAAAATTAGTAAATTTGACTTAATAACTCTTGATTTAACAAATTTGAATTAGTATGTCTACACTACAGAGAAATCTTGAAATTAGTCCAAAGAAGGCACCATTAATGTGGACATGCTACCTCAGGCTTAGAAGCCCCAGAAATACTGGGGAGTAATTAATTTGAATTACTCTGGGGAGTAATTATTTTGAAATAACAGCATTGGAGCATCCACACTACTGTATTTGAAATAACTATTTTGGAATTAGTGTTACTCCTGATGAAAAGCATAAGTACAGAGTTCAAATTATGCAGCTTTATAAAAAAAAAATAATGGGCTTGGTAGTGTGGGGACTCCACTTATAAATTCAACCTTGGGGAGAGGGGTAGTTCAAAATAAAGTTCTAGTGTAGACCTGGGCTAAGGGAGCTACAGACTAGACTCTCTTCCACTCCATCAGGCAATTCTGGTTAAAGATACCAACATTTTACAGGACACCAGGCTCATGTCAGTCATGACTCTGCTGCCTTTAATGAGTCTGGAAACGCTCAATCAATATGAAGCTGTGCAAATAATGCATTTTTTGGTTTACAGGCTGTGCTGAAAAAAATCTAAAATTTTTGGCAGTCAAACAAAACCATTTTGACTCACAAATCTGCAACATTTCCTTTTACAATGTTGAAAAGAAATGGTCAGATGTTTCAGAATTTTTTCAACTGAAACAATTCAAACAATTTGACAGGATGTCTGCATTTTTGGCCCAAAAAGGTAATTGAGCGCTAGGTCTATATAGGTACTTACATTATTCCAAACACTGTAATAGCTGAGATCAGAACTGCTAATGCTTTACCCTCTCCTATCCACCATTCCACTATGAAGCTGTAAATGCAGGTTTGCCAATAGCACTAACTGAACATATTTAACCAAATATTTTTGTCAGAATGTTTTATATCTAAATTGAACTATTTCATGAAGCCAGTTAATTTGGATTTCTTTGACAAAACATGAAAATATTTGCTTTGAATGTTTTCATTCAAAATGTCTATGAAAATTTGCATACAGGATTGTTCAGTTCAAAATTTTACTCTGTCATAAAAATTTGGGTGGGCAGTGATTATTAGCCATCTGGAGTTTCTACTTATGATTTTTTCATGAGCTTCACAATATTTGGAACTGACTTTTTCTTACAGGCTCAGTTCACAAAGCCATGCTGAATATGTAAGAATCTCAGCTTCCACTGGAAAAAAAAGCATTTCTAATTCTCAGGCTTGTAGGGACAACCTTGAGTGTAGAGTTTCAGAAAGCAGAAGACAAATAAGGAAAACCCCAAACTGAATAGTTTATTAAAATCTCCTTATTTTTAGGCAATCTTGTAATTTACAGGGTCTGATGTCTTCTCTTTGAATGCATGGGGTTAGCAGTATTGAACATAGACTTTTGAAGACTCGGGCCCTGATCCAATCAAATCTCTTATATACATATTAAGCACACAAGGAGTCACCTTAAATACGTGCCTATGTGATTTGTTGGATAGAGGTGGATGGGAAGGAGAGAATGCCAAAGGCACAGAGCCTGAACTGAGAACACTGCCAGCAGCCCAGGAATTCTTTATACCAATGAGGTTCCTGCTCTGGTGCCTCTGTAACTGTGGTAATATTCCATGAGGAGTGGTTTGGGCTATCTATTAGATAGGTGGGAGGCAGGCCATTTGTGTTTATTAGTAAAATCAACACCTTTAAATCAACCTATAATCAAACAGGCAGTCAGGTGTAATGTGCTCATGGGTGAAACATCACTTAACTAACAGGACGTCAAATTCTGCACGACCATCAACTTCAATCCAGGGTAAATTGTAGCCCTGAATATGTGAAATTCTGTTGGAGTGGATATTTGCCAACTGATTGCAGGGCTGAAGTGAAAACTTTTGCAACAGCAGGAGAAGAAAGCATCCTTATTACTATAATACACTTCCTGTGTAATTTTCTTTTTTCTTTTGTTATTTCTAGGTGAAGCAATCTATATTATTGCATATACATCTTGCATAGCACTCATCCTAGGAATAGCCTTGGTGGCTTTCCTTAAGACCAGGTAATTTGACAGAATCACATATCTTTGATGGTAGGAAATTCATTCTAGAAAAGAGAGTCACTCTCTTCACACTTTGGAGTTTGATGCTTGGAGTTGTGTTTAAAATGAAATTCAATGTAGTTCAGTAATAGTAATAGGATTAACTGGTCCTTCTGGTACCCAGTTGCTGCACCCTGTCAGAGGTAGGAGACTCAGACTGGGAAGCTGTTTTATGCAAGTGCACAGAATGAAAGATGGAGCATGCTGTATCTTACCAAGTGACAAAAAACCCAAAAAATACACATTAACTTTGTCAAGTGCACAATTTTTTGTCAATTAAATACATAAAGTAAAATATGATGTGTTGTATTGGTCCAGACTAAATGGTAAAGTTTGAAGAAGCACAATGTCAGAGGATAGGGATCAGAACAAAAAGTGGCAAGAACTATAGTGGGTGGGTGTTGTGTGAAATTTCATTATTAAATTCAGATAAAGTGATGAAAGAGAAATGTTGTAGAAAGATGCAAAAAGCCATGTCAAAGACATGTGGAATACAATTTCTTTCTTTCATATTTGTGGTTTGCAATGACAGGAGACTATCACTCAGAATATAAATAAAACAGGATTAAACATGGGCACAAACAATATAGAAGAGAGTATAGTAACTGAAGTGAAGGGGTTGATTTTATCCCATAATGTGCACCGCAAATATAAGGGTTGAAATCCTGGTTCCATAGAAGTCAGTAGGAGTTTTGCAAATGATTTCAAAGGAACCAGGTTTCCACCCAAAAGCCATATAACTTCACTATTAATAAATATACACTCTCTGTTTTCAGAACCTGCAGAGCAATATATCAGTCAAGAAATTCCTCACCAGTTCATTCATCTGAGATTCTTATGGTCCATTAACAGTGATAGAGAATCAACAGTGTGGCAAGTTATCAAGACTATTCTTGGTAGCCAGCCTGTTGTATATATGTCGTAAAATGTTATAAAGTCTAGTTTGTTATGGGATTTTTGTGGTTGAGAGTATGGAAGAGTTTTGTATTTATTTACATGTACAAAAACTTTCCCAAATGGAAAAAAGTTAAAACTGCACCCACCTGTGCATGCTCGTTCATTGATACATTACTATCTGTTTGTCATAGGTTTGGACTGTCAGTACATGATTGTAAAAAATTCTTCTTCTTTGTATGATTGATGTAAATGTAGAGCAACAACTATAATTTTACATTTAGATGGCTAGCTGCATCTGGAGTAGCAGAGTGTATTGTGGTGATGCCTCTTTTGTATTTGTGACTCAGGCATTGAGTTGGTTTATATTCCAGGGTCTGTTCTGGGTGACCACAGTTGCACACTGGAGAGTCTTTAATTTTCCATATATGCAGCATGTGCCATGATTTGTGGCACAAATATTAAAGCAGCATGAATTTGGGCTAGCCACATGGCTGTGAGTGGTAAATCTATCCACCACACCCCATCTATATGTATTCTACAGTTCAGAAATCTAGAGAGGGGGAACACTCCTTTAGAAATGTTTAAGAGAGTTTTTTAAACATTTCAGTAAGGATGTTGATAACCTGGAGAATGTTCAGAGAAGAGCCATGAAATTACTACTGGATTAGTTAATGGGGATTCTGTGACAAGACCAGAATTGTAACTTGACAGAGTTCTGTGACATGACTATTGCTCATTACTAATCATGTCTTACCCCAGGGGTGGGCAAACTGCAGCCAGTGAGCCACAACCCAGTAATCTGGATCTTGAACTCCATTGCTCCACTCCTGCTCTCCCACTGAGGAGCAGGGTCAGGGGCTTGCCCCACTCCACCCATTTGGTGCTTCTGCCAGGGAGCAGGGTCAGGGCCTTCCATTCATGGACCACCGTACTCAGGTGTGGCTGTCAGTCCAAATAGTATGCTCACCCCTTTCTTAAAGTGATGGCCTGAAAGATCTCAATTTAGCTCAACAAAGAGAAGATGAAGGAGTTGCTTGATTGTATCTAAACAGTCACCATGAGCAATTTAATGTAGCACAGAAAGGTGTAACATGATCTATGGTTGGGCATTGAAGTGAGGCAAATTCACACTTGTAATAAGAGACACAATTTTAACAGTGAGAATAATTAACCACTGAAACAATTTACCAAGTGTTGGGGTGAGTTCTTTATCACTGATGATTTTAAGACAAGATTGGATATTTTTTTCTAAAAGACCTGCTCCAGGAATGATTTTGGAGATGTTCTTATGGCTGGTGTTATACAGAATATTGAACTGTTTATTGGTGAATGTTATCGGTACTATTTTTTATATCCGTACACTCAGACACCCTTAGCACTATGAGTGAAAATGTCCAGGTCTTGAGACAGACATTCATCATTAAACTTAAAATTATTTTTTCTATACATAATAATATCAAGATTTTTATGTCTACTCCACTCATAGGAGTCCTGCTTGGGCAAGGGGCTAGCCTCAATGACCTCCCAAGGTCTCTTCTAGACCTAGGAGTCGATGATTCTATGATCTTACCTATCAGTTGTTATAAATCTCCTGTTTCTGGCATGCTTGGAAAACAAGATATCACACGTTAAACCTGTCATTGACTTCAAACTCAATGGAGGCACAGGCCGAGATAATTTGTTTTATAACTGGTAGTAATTTTATTTTTATATGGCAACTCCTTGAAGTTGCTAAGTTAGGTTGAATTAGTTTTCACAAAGATGATTAGTAAGCAGAATATAGATGAAGTATTCAAAGTTGCATGATAAATACAGTTTATCACATCTCTGCAACTTACCACATAAATAAAGCTAACCAATAATTTCTGTTGAAATGCAGCTTTGTTAACGTGGTTTCTGTGAAATTAAATTTTTCTGCAGTTCCTGTGTTTCTATGACACTGCCATGAAATATAGAGTCTATAAACCAGTGATATCCATGTGGTAAATTAATCATATTTACCATGCATTTTGGCTTTCTCCTCTTCCCACTACAGCAATATGCAGTGACAAGTCTAACATCTGGGTTGAAATACTGGCTTCACTATGTTCAATGCAAGTTTTGTGACTGACTTCATTGGGGCCAGAATTTCATTCCTGATATTTTACAACTCATCAGGGCTAGGAATGAGAGTGTTCTACCATTATTAAAAAGTCAGGAATTCTTCCTTTCAAATAGACTTTTGTTTCTGGCCTTGGTGGACTGTGAAATGACTGGCAAAATTATTATGCATGCAAAATCAATTTAAGTAACAAGAGATTTCACTCATTACTAGCCATACATTTTCTCTCTCTTTGAGGCTTGTATGGTTATAATAATTTTATTTTTTGAAATTGAATAAAATCATATTATTAAATCAATAGTAGTACCGATATACAAACACAAATATAAACTGTTGGGAAACCTAGTTAATTTGCTGATTTAAAGGCAGTTCTATATGAATCCATCAGTCACCAGCATTTACTAAATGGCTGTGTCTAGACTGGCCAGTTTTTCCGGAAAATCAGCCGCTTTTCCGGAAAAACTTGCCAGCTGTCTACACTGGCCGCTTGAATTTCCGCAAAAGCACTGACTTTCTACTGTAAGAAATCAGTGCTTTTTGCGGAAATACTATGCTGCTCCCATTCGGGCAAAAGTCCCTTTTGTGCAAAACTTTTGTGCAAAAGGGCCAGTGTAGACAGCTGAGATTTGTTTTCCACAAAAAAGCCCCGATCGCGAAAATGGCGATAGCGAAAATGGCGATCGGGGCTTTTTTGCGGAAAAGCACGTCTAGATTGGCCACGGACGCTTTTCCACAAAAGATCTAGACGCTCTGTTCCGAAAATGCTTTTAATGGAAAACTTTTCCGTTAAAAGCATTTCCGGAAAATCATGCCAGTCTAGACGTAGCCAATGGGTGTTACATATTGGATTATCACTCCTGAGTTAAAATTAAGGTGTAAAAAGACCAACCTCAGAACTATGCTACCACTAGTATTAGCATATTTAATGTTTCCATACTTTAGAAAAGAAATGATGCATTAATAGAGTCACATATTGAAAGACACTAATTTCAGTTTTGTCTCCAAGCTGATTCTATGCCTCTCATACACTAGTACAAAACTGAAGTGTATGCATTGCAAACATTTGCAGGTATAATTTAAATTCAGATTTTAAAATTAATTTTATTCAAACAAAAGAACCATGTGAATATTTCTAATAACCTTTCAATTTGTACATTTTTAATTTAAAACCACCTAATATAGGGATGTAAGCAACCTAAATATGTTTTTGTCTATCTTCTCCTCCTCCCCCCCAATGTTTTCATAATGAATACCAAATTATATTATGTTACTTTGATAACTTGATTGGATATGTTAACTTATACTGTCACAAATGTTTAATAGTAGACTACAGTACCATCATGAGATGTGTATGGAATTTCTTTTGACTTTGTATTTTAGTGTGATGCCTTGCTGAGGTAATTGTACTTTTTCTGGTTGTAAACTTCTGAAGAGTAGAATAAGTTATTAAACAAATCTATGCTGTAGACACAGCTATTCAAGTATCTTAATTATAATGTCAACTTTATTTCAATCCATTCTCCAGAGCTTAATACAGGTTGAACCTCCCAAATCCGGGACTCTCTGGTCCAGTAACATCCATGGTCTGGCAGGGACACAGATGTTGCTGGACCAAAGAGCCCCAGAGGCAGAGAGCGGGAGCCAACTGGGAGAATGCAGGGCTGGTGAGCCCTGGCTGGGCCAGGTGGCAGCTGGGGAGTCCTTCCCAGATGGGGAACTCTTGGCATTAGCAGGGCCAGGTAGGGGTAAGGAGCCCTGCCCCAGCCAGAGAACCCTGGCGTCAGCAGGACCACGTGGCAAATGGGGAACCCCTGCCAAAGCCAGAAAACCTCTGGTGTCAGCCGGGCAAGGCAGCAAATGGGGAGCCCCTGCCCTGGCTGGGCAATCACCTGCAACAGCAGGGCCAGGCAGAAGATCAGCAGCTCCTGGGCGAGGAAACCCAGGGAACCCCTGGTGGGAGCAGGATGGGCCCCGACAGTGAGGCTGGTAGTGTTACATCCTGGCCAGGGAGCTCCCCAGCATTATCTAGGTCAGGTGGGGCCAAGGAATCCCTGGCATTAATGGGACCATATGGCAAGGGAACCTGGGGAATCCCCAATGGCAGTGGGGCTAGGGTGGCCAGGTAGACATAGTTAGATAACCCCTGGGAGCAGCAGGGACAGATGGTAATAGGGGAGCTTTGGACAGGAAGTCCTGGGAAATCCCCAGTAGCAGTGAGGCTGGTGGAGTCTGAGCAGGGCTGGCAGCGGTTGGGTGGCCCCAGACTTGGGAGCCCAGGAGTGGGGCAGCCAGCAGGGGAGCATTTACCTCCCTGGGTGTGACAAACTCCCTGGTTTGGGACTACTCCGGTTGTGAGGGGGCTGGACCAGGGAGGTCCAACCTGTAATCCTTTGTGGTCAGATTACAATTGCCCCTTTTACATAGAGTAAGGGATAGGTAGGCCAAGATTACAGTCAATACAATGCTACAAGGGAGTGGTATCAATAATCATATTTTCAAGTTTCCCCTATTTTGGTCATTGGTCCCTGATCTTCAGCACTTAAAGCCTGAGTCTATAAAAACTGAGCTAAAGATGTAACTTCATTAGTAGACTTTTAACCTGGCATGTCGACCATTGCATGTGCAGCTGTAGGGTAGCTCAATTATAAATACAATCTAAAAACATGTCCGTGGGTAAACTCAGAATCATGTTTCCCTAAAGTGAAAATGTGGTTGCAGAGTCAGCGCAAGGAAAGCTAATGTTAAAAATATACATAAAACACAGGTTAAACAAGAGTGCCTGTACATCTGAGTATAGTGTTTAGCTTATCCACAAATACAAAGTTTGTTTTCGAAGTCATCACATACGTATAGTAACTCATCACCAATAATCCAAATGTGGGTGACTAATTTAACAACACACTTCAGATATTAGCAGCCAAGCATTTGTGTACATCACTCATGAAAAGCTATATCAAAAGTTGGTTGTGAAAAACAAATCTATCAATGAATAAAGATTGTTGCTGTATCAGCTGAGCATAATGTTGACCGATTCTCCATTCCCTGAACACTGTCTACTTACTAGGGTCCTAGGCACCCAGGGCTCTGATGATTAGTGTGTGATTAGTTTGATGATTAGTGCGTGAGTTTGACTCTCATAGCCCCCAGCTCCTAAGCTGTTGGCCAGAAGGGTGTATTTCTCCAGCTTTTGAGGTGAGGCACCCTTGTTGGATAATGATGATGTGCGATCACAGTTGGCTTTATATTCTGTGAATTGTGGAGTTCAAACAACCTCCTGCCTCGGTGGCAAAATGGCTTTGATCAGGTGATCTTGGATGGGATGGTGTCCTAGCTGCTAGGCTCTGGAGTGGGGCTTGCAGCTACGCAAGACGTGGGGCAGCGTCCCATTGACATAGCTGCACTTTCTGCATTTTCTATTCTGATTCTCGTGACAAATGGGCTCCATTCAGTGAGATGCAGTTGAGCCAAATCTGGAGGATTCTACTATTCTCTCCTTTATCATATTCTCATTATTTTCCAGGATTTTAGGACCTCCAGTGAAGTCAGTGGAAACCTTCCTGTTGAATGCTAGGTGGCAAGATACAGTCTGTTTCTACAAAACTGCAATTCCTGTGATCTCTTTAGTTGCTTTGTAAAGATAGAGACATTGTAGAGATTTTTCCTGTCTTCAGGGCAAGAGGCCCTATATACGCACCAGGCAGGCTCATATGAGGTGAAAAAAATACCTTTTCAATGGGCTTTACATGTCTGTAGAACCCTGTTCAAGCCCTATGGACTGAGGTGCATTTCACTACATTATACAATTCTTGTCCTTCGTTTTCCATTAGAATTGATTTCTGCTTTTTTCATATATTGTTTGCTTAACATCCCCTTAGGTGAACACCATCTGGCATGGATGATTGCCTGAAAATGGGTTACTTTCTAATATGCTTCTTGGAAGTGTTAATGATTCTTATGAAAACTGCCATTAGAATGTGTACTCTTTTATCATCTTCTACAGTAAAGATATATGCAAAACAAATAATTATTCATTTTACTGGAAATTATGAATGCGTCAACAGAAGAATACACTGATTAGGCATTCATAAAGCTACTGACTCCTAATGCCACTTCTTCTAGTTTAAATATATTAAATATCTACTATAAATAATAGACAATCAATTGAAAATTCTAAACAGCAATTTCAGTTTTAAAGGTATTACGTAAGAATGGCCATACTGGGTCAGACCAAAAGTCTGTCTAGCTGGTATGCTATCTTCTAACAGTGGTCAATACCAGATGCCCCAAAAGGAATGAACAGACCAGGCAATCATCAGTTGATCTAGCCCCATTGTTCAGTCTCAGCTTTAGAGACAGACGCTAGGGACACCGTTCCCTACCCCAGGAAGCTTATGAAGAGTGAAGGACAAGGATGTAACACATGAGCACAGCAGTCAGAATGATGGCTAATAAACAGATTTGGTTTTGTACATATTTTAAAATGTTATAAAATATAGTATATATAATCTGTCACCGACTTCTTTCACCTAAGGAAAATCAGCTGGCTATTGACTTTTAGGCATCATAGTAAAAGTGGGTCTCCAGGAGAGATTTGAGAGAGGAATAGGTAGTGATTTTTGCAGGTCAGCTCAGGAAAGTCATTTTGTGTGTATGGGTCATGAAGTGTCTGCATCTTACTATCATGCCATATAGTTGTTCATCATGCAATTTTTGGAGTAATTGCATTTAAAAAAACCACACAAAGGACACACGTATGATCCAGAACATACTTTCTACCCCAGTATATAGTATAAATCACTAGGATCTGTTTGTGCACCCACTGAAATGAAATGTTGGTGTGTGTAAAAATTAATAGGTCTGAAATGGCCTTTGAATTAGTGTTCAGGGGTCAGCCACAGCATTACCCTTAAACATGCTTTTTCCATTTGTTTTTTGTAGTTTGGGAAGTTAGATTAAAGGTCCAGTCGAAACCAGTATTATCCTTTTGATATATAAACATGCTTTCTCTCTCTCTCTCTGTTCTGTAGCCTAGGAAACCAGATAAGAATGGAATAGTAATAGAGATGTAGCCATGTTAGTTTGGTCTTGCTGAAACAAAAGACAGGACTATGCAGCACTTTGAAGACTAACAAGATGGTTTATTAGGTGATGAGCTTTCGTGGGAAGTGGGTCTGGCCCACGAAAGCTCATTACCTAATAAACCATCTTGTTAGTCTTTAAAGTGCTGCATAGTCCTGTCTTTTGTTTCCGATAAGTATGGTGTTGCTCTATTTTGTTACGTCTCTTGCTTATCCTCATTGGCTCTGCATAACATATCTTCAGGGTCAAATTCCTTGTAATCTCTGTAACCTGTTAGTTTGTAGAGTATTGATTCAATAAAAGAGTATTGATTCAATTAGAAATTATACAAATGATAATTAGGGGCGGGTAGAAGGAGGTAGCGACTAGAATAGTGAAAGCAAGAGTGAGTTTGAAGGTGATAGATAAGATCTAGAAAAGTAAAGCGATTAGCTTAGGAACAAAGCTGAGCGTCTTGAAAACAGGTGTATTTAGCTGCATGTTGCATGGATGTGAGACATGGGTGATAACAAAAGATTCGAAGAGAGTGATATTGGCATTCGAGAGAGTTGTTACAGAAAGAGCCTGAGAATAGGATGGATGCAGAAGATCACCAATGAGGAGTTATATAGGAAGATACAGTCGAAAGAGAACCTACTGCAGAAGGTTATACAATAGAAGTTACAGCTATTTGGGTATATCTGCAGAATGAATGATAAGCAAAAAGTTAAGACCCTGATATTTGGCATAATGGATGGCCCGAACAAGAGAGGCAGACCCCACAGAGAATGGGTAGATGATATAGTAGATTGGTGCGGAGCTAGTAGCGAGGGAGGCTTTGAGCCCATGGTCGATTATGATCATGATGATGATGATAATTGTATTTATTATTTGCTTATTAATATTCATTTTATGGGAGTTAACATTATTAAATAAGGCTTTAGGAAAAGTAGTGATAGACATGTGAATTAACATACTAAAATAGATAAAAGTGTAAAATTGGCACCAGGTGGTGGATACTCAGACATTGTGTTAAATGTCTGACATAAACGTGCATAGGCAATAAAGCAGTTCCTTTTACCCCATCTGCTCCTGGGTTGCCTGTTTCTTTTCTAAAAAACTATAGTTTTACCATTGATTGCAGCAGATACAGGTAATTTTAGCTCATATAAAAACAGTAATGAAAACATTTGCTCTGAATTTGTGATATGGGCAGAAGCTGAAAAATAAAAATTGAGGAAAAAATGTAAATGACCTGAGCATTGTACATTGAATCAACTTTGATTATCATCACTGGAATATTTCTTTACAGAGGAATATATTGAGTTATCAAAGATCTTATAGTTAATGCTTAGTTAATGGAGGGAAGGAATATGTTTCTATGGTAACTTAGAAGAGATTCATCAGTTACATATCATTTTCCATAAAAGCAGACTGGAACAACTGATAATAAAGGTAATCACAAGCAAATGCACTCAGAATGGCTTACACCTTACCAAAGTAAACATTAGAGTATGTGATGGAGTGACAGCTGATATTTACTAACGCCTTTTGTGTGACTTAGTGAACTGGAGTTGTTGAATCTAGCATGTTGTACTACATCAGTGTACTTATTTCAACAAACATTTAGATATGTTTTATTTCACCTTTAAGATTAATGCCATGTACTGCAAAATAATCAGTGCATTTACCCAGTACAGTAGCACTGATGACTGTTCTTCAGCAAATATACCACATCTCTGGTACGTGACTGACTAGGCTACATTAACACTGGCTTTAGTCATGTTCTCCTGCTTGGACATTTGGATCTTGATGGCAGATGTTAACTAGCAGGGAGATTGGAAGAAAAATGTTTCCCTTTAATAATTATAAATAAATGCATAAATAAAAATAATCTACAACATCAAACTTGGAAAATGTTGCAGGGACAGTTCTCAAATCAGATACTTTTTTTACTCAATATTTTGAACATTTCAAATATTAATTAATTAAAGCCTCAGAGCACTAGGTGAGCTGTCTGGTAAGTCATACAGTCCACTTGGAACAAAATCCTAACTTCCAGAGCACAGATCTTTTTACTAGGCCATACTCTCTCCTCTTAAAATAACTGTCAGAGAAAACAAGCATATCTTATACATTCACTATCCCTTGGCCGTAGAACTGGTTCATTTCAATAGCATAGATCAAAACAGTAATAATTTTACTACAAATACTATTAGTAGTAATAATTGTGATTCTCAATCTGCATGCTATGAGCCCACATCACAACAGTGAGAAAATTTTGTCAGCCCCCTCCCATATAGCCATAATTGAAGGAAAGAATCACAACCACCCTTTGACCTGTTTATGAGCCCATGCAGTGGGGGTGTTTGTGTGTTGTTCTTGGTTTTGCAACTGTTGGATTGTGCACTCATATTACAGCTCTTTTATTTTCAATGCAGTCTGTCTGGTTATATCTTAAACTGGCATACAACTGTGCCAGGTCAAGGCCAATTTCAGGCGCCTGTAGAAATTGAACTGTATCTGACTGCAAAGCAAGGTAGCTCTGAAACATATTAAAGCCACCATCTGTGAAATGGACTCAGAAGCCTCCAGACTGGTAAGAGACAGCAAAGAACAACTATACTAACTACTAATGGGAATAATCAATGCCTCTTTCAGACAAACACACCTACCAAACTCCTTGAAAAAAGTAAGAGTTCACCCATGCCTTAAGGAAGCCAACACTTGCCCAGAAAGACATCAAATAGTTACCAACAAAATCCCAACCATATGTGCCATAAATCAACATCCTGGTTGTCTCACAATCAGATTGATTTAGACCCTGGCACAACACCAGTGACTGTGATAATGGCAGTCCTGTAGTTTAATAGAGTTGGGCTGCAGGCAGACACTGCTACAGAAGGTCCCACTTTCTTCTTTCTTTCAGTGTAAATCACTTATTTAAATCTCGTCCTTCTCCAAATTTTCACATTTCTGAGAAGAGCTGAATATATGTCAATGGGAAAGAGAACATAGCCCAGTGTTTTTGAAGTTTGAAGTTGCTTACTTTCTAATGAAATTCAGATCAAGAATTGCTACATAATGAAAGACTGAAGAAGGCTGCATAGACAGACACTGTAAAAGAAGCAATATTGAGCACAAAATTATGACAGTAGTACCAAATTCACAATAGCTTAGAGACAGGTTGTGGATGGTTCTCCCAGTGCAAACTACTCACTCATGGTCATCAACATCCTCTGAAAGAAAGTTGTTACACTAAAGCATAAACCTTATCTTCTTTTTCATTGCTTAATTTAATTAAGCTGGTTTTTAACCCAGCTGATGAAAAAGGCAACTACAATGAATTTAATGTAGCTAAAAAATATGAGAGGTTGCACTAGATTTGGGGGATATAGCAGGGTGCATTTGTCACAAACGTTTGGAACAAGGTAAAGTAATTCATATACTTAACAGATGTTAACCATTGTAAAAATACAAAACTACTCTCAGTAAATTTAACTTGGACATCATGTTCATAACATAATTGACTTGGCAAATGAAAAGTAGAGATTCGGAGAAATAAAACACATAATAGCTAGGACACACACAATGTGGATCTCATAAACTACTTTAAATATTTGTACTGTACTAAAAGTCAGCTTGATTAAGAATTAACAATATATTCACTTCTTGTGGAACTCTGTAATGAATTTTGTCTAAAGCAAGCTAAAAAGCCACTAAAATAGATAGCAAGTTGCCCAGAAGTTTTACATGATTTTCTCACTTTTAAAAATATCAGATACATAAGAGTCTATTGATAGGCATTATATTTATTATTTTCAATGCTATCGTGTTTCCCCAAAATAACATTTGGCAATATGTATTATTACAATTAACAGTTATCCTTTCCATAAATAACCACTATACCTGCTTTCTTTTTTCCTCAACTGAAAAGGGTTTGCAAATTGATTTCCTTTTGTAAGTGTTCTTGGGCAAAATATATTGCATGTGAATTAATTTGCAGAAAGAACAGTTTAATTTACAGTTCAAATACTGAAGGAGGCTTGAGCAACTTTAGAATTTGTTGTCTTGTTTAAAGCTGTGCAGATGAAGTTACCAGCTTCCATCACCTTATAGAGATTCACTCCCTAAAACACAGGGAAAGAAAAGAGCTCAGTTTAATATATAGTTTTAATATATATGTTCTGATATTGCTTATGTCACTGGTAAACTGGTCCCCAGATTTATAATTTGTAGAAGAAACCAACTTCATTCTTCATTGCAAGCCAATACTTTATTTTGAAGATAAAGGGTAAGATCTTTAGTTGGAGTAAATAAACTGAGGTCAGTAGAGCTATACCAATTTACACTAAGGGTACTTCTACACAGTGGTGCTATTTTGGGATAACATCCGTTATCCTGAAATATAGTTGTGCGCTACACAAGAATGTAGTTGCGCTACACAAGAAGCTCATTATTTCAAAATACATTCAAAATAACGGGCTTGTTATTCTGGCTTCCTGTAAGCCTCATTGCATCAGGATTAAGGAAGATGCCAGAATAGTGATTTATTTTGAAATTTAGTGCTGTGTAGATAGTGCCAAATTTTGAAATAAGCTATTTTGAAATAAGCCACACAAATTGCGTAGCTAATTTCGAGCTATGAAAAACTGTGTAGACTTACCCTAGAGGTGAGGATCTGCTTCATAATGCTTACTATGAGAGTTATACTTAATTTTGACTGTATTTTGAAAGGTTCTACCAGACTTGCAAGAGATTCCCTGTACTAAAAATAGAAACAGCGAGAGATCTCGTAATACATCTCAAAAGGAAATAGCTGTATAATTCATATAAACATGTCTCTATCTCTCACAGAAATCTCTGAAGTTTCAAATTTGTAAGAAAGTACCCAATGATAGATTTGGAAAATTACATGAAGTTACAGAAAGTGGGACTCCATAACATACATAATCGCTATCAACTCTTCCTTGGAGATTCTCTCTTATATAGAAAATTACAGTTTATATGTACAATTTATATGTATGGAGAATCACAACAGACTAATCTCTCCTTGCTAAAACATATTCTTTCTTTTATAAGCAACTTATTTTACATGGGGAAAAAATAACCCAACCCAAGAAACAAAAATACTGCAAACCAAATAAAAAAAGAAACCCCATAAAACACTGGTGATTTTTGAAAGCAATCAAATTAGGATAGAATCAAATTATTGATCTAGAAGTATAAGATTTCCTGTCTCATTTCCAGTCCTTGAACCATAATGTTTTAGCCTATTTGCTATTTTATCATGGAAATATCCATTTAATCAGAAAAGATAGTTTTAACTTTAATAACATTTCAATAAGCCTTGCACCATCTGCCTTGTTAAACTTCATAGAAATAAGAAACATACCATCATAGACATACTTGGTAGGCAGATTACTGTGGATGACCAAGAACATACTGAAAATTCACAACAATGTAATGAACATTTCACAGTACAATAGGTGTTGACAAGAAACACATGCTTAAATAAGTTAAATAAAACAACATGGACATTTGCCTATAGTCTCTAGTGCCTGTACTATTTTCTCTTTTCTGTTTTACATGTATACCATAAGACTATTATGAACAATAATACTTGATCAGAAATGGTTTATAGATAGAGTGCAAAACTTTGACTTTGCTCTCATGAATCACATAAGGGGTGTGGGTGTTTGAGAGTGAGAGAGGAGAGAAATGGCAGTGTTAGATGAGTGTATGATCACCGAGCTAGTACAATATAGTTAAGAGCAAGTACAGAGTATATGTATGCTTGCTGCTGACACCAGCATATGTGCAAGAGGATTGTGGGACTGGACATATCCCTAAACTAGATGACTGTATAACTGGAGGGTCATGAAGTACCAGCCAGTCTGCTGCTTTTCCATGATCTTTCTATGTGATTTTGGGCAGTGACATAGGGCCAGATCTTTCAAGAAGCAAAACATCTCTGCCCAGAAGCCAATCTCCTACAACTCCTATTGTCTTCAATTAATTCACTTTTATTAGGATCAAAACTACAATCTCTCACAGCTTCAGCTTCATCATCTATAAAATGGCAATAATGATATTACCATCTCAGAAATTTTTTGAGGCTTACTGTTTGGTAAGCACGTGGAACGCATCACAAGAGCAGATATTATTATGGACATATATGAACCATACAAAAACTGTTTATTTGCCTAAGAAAGTGTATGTCTTCTTGGAAATCATTAATTGTGTGTGACATTGAAAGACACATTTATCACTGTACTACCAAGCTGACTTGTACTTAGTAAGGGAAGTCGGAGGAAGAGTGTTCTATTTCAAAATAAGTTCAGTGGAGATGTGCCCAAATTCAAAATAAGCTATTTCGACTTAAGCTATGCAATTGATACAGCTCAAATTGCATACCTTATTCTGAATTTAGCCCTGCTGAGTAGACGTACCCCTAAGGTACATCTACACAGCACTATTTCAGAATAACTGATGTTATTTCAAAATAAAAAAGTGTTCATCTACACTCAAGCAGGTATTTCGAAATAATACTGAAATAACCTCCAGCCAGAGGACTTCTTACACCAACTCCTGTAACCCTCATTTTAAGAAGATTAAGGGAAGTCAGAGGAAGAGTGCTCTATTTTGAAATAAGTGCTGTGTAAATGTGCCCAAATTTGAAATAAGCTATTTCGACTTACACTACACAGTTAGCATAGCTCAAGTTGATAGCTTATTTCAAGTTTAGCCCCACTGTATAGATAGAGCAAAAATCAGCATATTAAACTTTTTCTGGAAACTAACTGAGAAGCACTGGAGTTCCTGAAGAAAATTTGTAATGAGTTATTTACATTATTTACATAATAAACAGGAAAGTGCATTCTTCCCTGACTTTAATTTCTGAATAGTCCCAAGATACAGCCCTGTGCAAGGTACACTATGTAGTTTAATATGGAGATGATAAAGGCATGGGTAAGTGTATGAAGCTGGCACTTCACAGAAAATTTTCCTTGAGTTGAGACTGAAATAAAACACCTAGCCTCGAACCAAAGACTAATGTAGTTAGGATAGTCTGTCTACCATACTAGGCCTGAAACCAAAGTGACTGCTTTTATGCTATCATTTTCCCCTGGTTTCAATGTCATTGTGTATCCTTTTGCTTCAGTTAGAAATTCAGCATCTTACTTATGACCTACTGATCTCTAACTAGGGAGCAAGTTAATCTCAGCATCATGCAATTCACCTTTGTGAAAAAATACTGTGATGGTTTTATAGTGGTTTGAAGGGATATTGAATGGTTCTATGAACAGTGTAATTGTTTGACTGGTCAGTCCCCAAAACTGTGTAAAACACAACTGTATTTTTCACATATGAAGCCAAATGAATGAAACTACTCACTAGTCCCATAGTCACTGTGGTCCTGATCCACATCTTAGTTAATATCAGAATTTCCATATTGGGTCAGACCAAAGGCCCATCTAACCCATCTATCCTGCCTTCTGACAGTGGCCAATACCAGGTGCCACAGCAATCCCTCCCCTGTCACCCACTCCCAGCCTCTGACAAAAAGAGGCTAGGGGCACCATTCCTGCCCATGCTGGCTAGTAGCCGTTGATGGACCCATCCTCCATCAATGAACTCTGTGAAATGACTCTCATTTATGTCAGTGAGCTGGCTCACCCTTTTGAGGGGTTAAGCTTTTACATTCGGCAGCTTCCTTCTCTCACCCGCCTAGTGTATATACCATTCAAGTGATTTTCACTATAAATCTTAGTGCATTGTAATCAAACAAAATGTCCACAAATGCTATAACAAACAACTCCCTGACAGCAACACTATTATTTTAATCAAACATATTGTGACTGGCAGGTTTAAGAAATGTGTATGCAAACATGAATGTGCAAGAGTTTACCGTATTGATCCCTAAACCATTAAGCATGTATAGAACATCCTCTGTGGCTACGTTTCCAGTAGCACCTTTCGCATATGGACAGCCACCTAATCCAGCAACAGCGGAGTCCACAACACCAACGCCCATCTGGAAAACAGTAACATACAAAAGCAACATTATCACAAAGTGCTATCCATCAATTCCAATGTTAACCAGAACACAGTCATTACTATTGGTAACACATGACAAGGATACATTTTCAACCAATGGGATTTATTATTTAATTTACATTCCAATAGAGGAACCAGGCCCAATGTCCTTAATAGGGCAAGGCTCTGTACGGGATATTATTCAGGAGGTTCTGATTAGAGGCCAGCTTTGTGCAGTGGTTTTCAAACTTTTTGCAGTGGTGACCCCTTTCACAGTAAGCCTCTGAGTATGAAACTCCCCTCACACATTAAAAATGAGGGGGTTAATTTAATTTAATAGGGGTTCAGGACTGTCAGCTCCATGGAACTGACAGTGTGTGACCCCCTGCCCTTATAACCAACTTGTACCCCCCGGAGGGGAGAATTCAAAACTCCCAGTTGAAGAACCTCCTGCTTAGTGCATGTATGAGGCACATAAGAAAGTTATGGGGGGGTTGGAGCGATTCAAGGGTTTTTTTAACCTTTAAAAACAACCATGTTACCTGCATCTGAGCTAGGGTGGTTTTGTGAATGTCAGTGGCCCCTAACAGTTGGACTCAGGTTCTGGTAGGCAGATTAAGGTTGCCTGTGGCACTGAACCAGAGCAAGCAGGGAGACTCCCTTCTCCACTCCTTTTTCCTGCCATCCCAGCCTGTTCTACCTCTTTCTCCTGTGGCCCTGTCCACAGCCCCATCCTTTTCTACCCCTTCTTGGGACCTGTTTCCCCCAGATTCTCCCTCATTCCATTCCCACACTGTGACCCCAATACCAAAGATGTTCTGCCCACCACTGCCATGGCCCAAGCCACAGGAGGGAGAGAGAGCTCTCCCAGCCCTAAGGCTGCGGCTGGTAGTGAGAATTTCTCCAGACTCGGGACTGCAGCAGGAGGTCTAGATGCTGGAGCTTCTCCTACTACTCCCCATGCTTCTGCAGAGGAACTGGGTCAGAGTGCTGTATTGTCTTCTGCCCTGCCTATATAGTGCATCTGCTGGGGAATAGTGTCAGAGTGTGGAGGTTTTCCTCTGCTCCATCCTCACAGCTGCCCATCCAGTGGCTGGGCTCCAGGCTTCCATCACCTGATGGTGGATTTTTTCCACCCGTGACCTCTCCCATATTGGCTGGGGACCCTGGGTATAGGTCTTGTTGACCCAGTGACTAATCAGCCACTGCTGTAGAAGCAATGATGTGACTAAGTCCTTTGTGAATCTAGTCTCCCATGCCAGTTATAAGGATAGTATAGGGAAAATTTAGATAGCAATTAGAAGAGACAAGACTGACTCCCTATATTTGTCTTTCTTATGACACAGTTGTCCCTAAGCTCAGGAGAAACTTCAAATGCTCTTCCACAAGCATAGCACTTGAAGCTGCCATTGAGCATGTGGCTGTCACATCTGCCAGCCACCATTCATTTAGTGCCATTGGGATTCACACCGGAGCACTGCCTCTTGGAGTTAGGTTGCCCTAAAAGCCTTTCTCACAAAAAAAAAGTCAAGGCAGAAAGAGACACACCACAGTCCCCTTCCACACAAATAACAACAACTGACTCGCAGACTCACCCAGCATATCTGAGTTAAACCTCCATGTCTCACCTTTCAGGTGAGTTCTCTAATCACTGGGCTATGTCATATGCTTGAATTGCTGCTCTGTCTTACCTGGTGAAATTGTTCCAGTATTTATAAATAATAAACAGCCACTGGGACATGGAGTGGAACTGGGAATCCCACCACTTACATAAGTGCTCTAGACGCTGAACTACAAAGACAAGGTGAGTGAGTTAATATCTCCTTTTGGACCAACTTATTTTGGTGAAAGAGACTAGTGTTCAAAACACACAGAGCTCTTCAGATCAGTACTCCAGAGTCCTTCTCACAATTTCTGTGGCTCAATGTCTGCATTGAGGAACACACCTGGACTTTGGTGTGAGCTAGGTGCAGGGCTTCAGGAATGCATGCTCATCAGCAGATGTTTAAAGAGACTTTATTAGTAGCAAAGGAGATATGTACAGATTTTTGGCACCTATAAGTTTATAAAGCAGATTCCTAAAGTGATCATATAAAGGTAGGCTAGCTCTAAATCTTCATTCAAAAGAAAGCAGATGAATTCCTGCTTCACATTAAAACAAAACAAAACACCTCAATGCAGCTTTAATGATGAACTCATGAGCGCTACCTCCATAAGGAAGACAAAGAATAGCTGCTAACAGGTGTATTCCACATGTCAGGGAAGCAGCTGTTATGCAATGCATTTTCCAGACCATGGACCCAATAACTTTGGCTCACAGTTAAATGTGCAAAGACATATGCAAAAGCTTAGCTTGAAGTGCTGAAGAAATCCCATTGTCTTAGGGTGTGTCTAGACTACATGCCTCCTTCGACGGAGGCATGTAGATTAGCCCGATCGGGAGAGGGGAAAGG